TGGTGGTTTTTTTTTATTAATATTACAGAGTGGCACCTCTCTGGCTATGGCTGAAGACAGAAAAGTGGCATAAAAGATAATTTCCTGAGGACATCATTCTTCTTTATTATTTATAAGGATTTTATCAAATTGACATCAGCTCTCTAGTCTAACAGCAGTCAGTCAAGTTATTTTATATAAAGATTTGTCCGCTTAAAAAGGTTATGATTTCATGCTGGACAAGCTCCATTGCATTCTTTAAGATTTCACCAAGGATTATTCTGACTTTCCCTATCTGTTTTTAACTAGTTGTCGTTCACTCACGTCTCCTCTCAGCCTAGCAAGTGACAGGGTTTGCTCATGAGAAGTTAACAGAAGACTAAACATGCTTGATCCAGCTAGAAAAATTTCAGGTATAAATATTGTGGGGACTGAGAAAGAAATACATTCAGCTTTGCCTGAACTTGTTTCTCCTATCTGTACATTGGCAATTGCTTCAATAGCCATATTTTTTCTTTATCTGTACAGCTCTCCCTCACTATATTGAATTTTTGAGGTGTCAGATAAGTAAGAATTGTAGACATAATTGTATTTTCCCACTTGCTTGTTGAGGCACAGAGCAGTGTCTGCATGAGAATGAGGAGAAACCTCCATAAAGGAGAGCCCCAGGACGCAGCCATCCTTGCTGGTGACAGTAAGGTGCAGCCCACTGCCTGTCCCCAGGAGCGTGCATGGTTAGGACATTTGTGTGCCTGCCCAGGAGAGCGCAGCAGGGAGCACAAGGCAGGTGATAACTTTGGAGAAGAGGCAAGATCTATGTTTGTTTCCTATACATGGTGAAGGAGCTGTTCTTGCTGTGAAGTCTCTGCAGGTAACCTCATGGTTAAAGGTGCATAAACAATATACACTTGCCATGCATAATTCCTGGAGGATTAAATTTTTGCCTCAATAGAAACAGCTCCTCTCTGCCCTTCATGTTCAGAGGAACAGGGGAGTCCAAAGAGTATTTAGATTCAGGCATGTTCCTTAATTTGTGCCATATCTGAAGAGGCCTTATGGCCATTAGCCATCTCTTACGAGCGATGATGCCTGCACAGGCCAATCTTCCTTTCTTTTACTTTTATGATCTGTTGTGTTGATGGGTTCAGGTCCTTTTTATGTATGCACACATTTTATCAAAGGGTTTGTAGCCAGTATATTCCTGTCTATTGCTTAGCTAGGGCAGGGAGGGAGTTCTGCCTTCTTTTAAGAGCTAGAAAATGGGATCCACATTTAACCTGAGTGCCTTTGAATATGTAATAAGGTTCATATCTAACAAAAGAGTTGTAGCTCTGTGTGTCTCACTGGGAATAATGCAGATTTCTCTTGCAGAGATTTTGTGAATTGACGAGGACAATTCGTGTCACACATCAGTGAGAGCTATCTACAAAGTAGGGAGCCAGGCTGAACTTCTGGCTACGTTGTTCCGAGTTCCTCTTTTGACATCTGATAATTTTTTGTGGGAGGGAAACTCAGGAAAGACAATTGGTAAAAAAATCTGCTGCTTTGCCAAAAAAAGAGACTCTCCTACAGTCTCAGGTAAAACACCAGCTTGAGAGAAGCTAGAACTGCACATATCGCACCTATGTTTAGTCTCTTAAAAAATGCTACTCATGTGAAAGCTACTCATGTGGCACCTTCTGTTTATCATTCCTCACCCTTGGCAGTGATCCTGGGGAAGTGTCTGTAGTGAACTGGGCATATGGTTCCTTCTGCTAGGAAGAGGTTTCAGTACGTTATCTCACATTCTGGCACTACCCTGGATATTTACCTTTAATGGCAGGTTCTAGAGATTAACGTACCCTGTGTAATAACGTTTTGGTTCAGTGGGAGTGCATGCGATGGAGACTCGAGGGAGGTTTGGTCTGTGAAGCAGCTGTCAGCAGCACCCTGCTCTGGGTTATCTTTGGGAGAGCTGTTAGTGCTAATATGGTCTTTCTGGTTTTGCTGGTGGGATCTTGGTGCTGGGAGCATGTGTCCCCCGCTGCAGCAGGAGCTGGCTCTTTGCAGCAGAGGGGAGCTGTGCTGTTTCGTGCCCGGAGATGCTGGCCTGGCTGGGCTGCACAAGGGCCAAGCATCCGGGAGCCTCCAGCTCTGCCAAGGCCTTCAGTGCCAGTCCTGGGAATGTTTCTGCACCCAAATTGTATGGAAAGCTTTGTTCATTGTTTTAGTATTATTTAAAAATGTGCATACTATCTATGTGATTTAAAAAAAGACTGTTTACACAAAATATTTTGTATCTTAAGATGTGTGTACTGTAAAAAGAAAAAAAAAGGAAAGGATGAAAAACGATGTTTTGCTACAACTGTCAGAGTGACTGCATGTCTGTATCATCATCCACCGACCGTTTTTCCTCAGGGGTCTCCCCGCCATTCCTGTGATCCTGTCAAAAGCATAGGGAAGCAAGTGAATCCTTGTACAGTCTTGGGAAGAAGGTTTTGTGCCTTAAGAATGGGACCTGCTTCCCTTCTATTTATTGTGTTAATTTATACAGTGATTACTGTGGAAATGTCTCTTGTATTTTTTTTTGTACATAGTTTACTGTTGATTTTTGTAAATAAGTTTTTCTTGTATATAAAGTAAACATGTTTCTGAGCTTCCAGTAAAGATTCTCTGTTACTGATTTCATTGTGTGAGTAGGGCTGCAGTGCCTCTCTGCTGGGAACTGGCTAATAAAAATCTGTGCTGTGATAAAATGGCTTTATCCTGAGTTGCATCAGAAGTTCAGACCTGTTCCTTAGAGAGGAGTGAAATGGTAAATGTGATTGTTGTTGATTAGTTTTGTAGACTTTCTTCGCATTGGTTTAATTTGCATGAAGTAGAAGACATCATGTAGTTTATTTTTATTAACTGTATCTCTGCAGTGAGCAAAAGTAGAAATGTTTTAAACGTGGTGGTTCTACTGCTGCTCACCCTGATCATAGCTCCACTGTATGCAAACCCCCAGCTAGATGGGATACACTCTCAGAAACTCAGCAGGGTATTTATCAGTTACCTCCGTGTGCGTGTAGACCTCTTAGTGGGTGATGTGGTATGACCACGTCTTCCTGGTCATGGTGGTGCAGAGCCATGATGAGAGGGAAGCAATTGATCCTCTATTTCACTTGGCCCTCTGTACATTCAATTTATTGCAGGCAGTATATATGGTAGCTGGCATAAGTGAAAATGCATTTACAAAAATGTGGGAGAAATAAGTTTTCTCATGAAAAGTAGAAATTGACGGCCATAAAATGACACCTGAAAACTTGAAAGTAAAAGATTTGGAGATGTTTGGATGAGTAGTCCATGGATTGAATTGTGATGAGCTTTGTCTTCCATCTGTACAGATTGATGTGTTTGTAAGATGCTGACAAGAAACTTCAGCAGATTAATTTAAACTGAGAATGATCATAGTGTTCCATAGCACTGTTGCAAAGTAAGTTGAAAGTAACTTATAATGGTCATGAATATTTCCTGTGTGAAAAAGACTTTTGTACTTGATAGTTAAACTGAAGGAATTACTTTGTGTGGAGGGAATAGTTTACGTGACAGGAACGTAAGAAACTATAGTAATGTTGTATACTGTTGCAAGATGAAAATGGTAAAATTGATCATTAAAATGTTGATTACCTAGTCCTAGTAATAAGGAGAAAATAAGAATTATTGCATTTGCTCACACATGCACCAGACCTGAGTGTCAGGCTCTGCATTAAGTAGCAGTAAATAAAACGTGCAAAGAAGCAGCAGCAGAGAGACAGAAGATACATTTACTCCTGATACACGTAATCCATTTTGGTGTCTTTTTTTAATTTATGTGCAGAAGCCAATAGCAAGAAACTCTTTTCCCCACTCAGTGCATCATTACTGGGATATCAAACCTCCTGCTCAGAGCT